TCCTCAGAGACCCCATTTTAATCCGCGACAGGTGTGCCTACGGCTCTTTGGATTGGATAGCATAGATATTATACATTAAAATTAAGGATTACATTTTTTTTTTTAAAGAATTAAAAAAAAAAGAATAAAAAAACCCTTATTTTTTTTCTAAACATATTTGGTAAATTTAATCTTCTTGGCTCTAAACAAAATTGATCTAAAAGTATTCCTTATTTTTCCCCTTGTTGGGGGGTGGGGTAATCTTAAATGATATTGTTTCACATGTACCTAAAAGAGGACCCCCAGCCATTATGTTGTCTATGAAACATTCAATAATAAATTCAAATTTCATTCCTTATTGGATGACATATGTATAGATATATTGTATGATAACTATTTTTATCGTTCCTTAATATATTAGTTTACATATAAATTATAAAATTTGTATCATATATTGGTACAGGTATGTCAAATTGCTCAACGATCAAAGAAAAGAGAGAGGAAATACGCAGAGAACAAAAGAGAAAATGGAAACAAAAACAAAAATTATTGAGACCAGCAAAGGAGTTGTCTCAATCTATAGCTGCTGTAAAGAAGAGGTAGCAGAGAGAGAGGCTTGCTCGGAAAAAAGAGGAAGAACGTGAAAAAAGACAACAAGCTACAGAAAGAAAGCGGAAAAGTAGGGCAGTCCTTAAGAGTAAACAGATTCAAGAGAAATTAAAGAAGGAAGAAAAACGCAAGAAAAACACAGAGAAACAAAGACGATGGCGAGAAAAGAAAAAAATACTCAAGCAACACAATCTTCCGCTCACACAAGAGGAACAACAAATATTTCAAAATAAAATGAGCAAATCCCGTGCAATAAGAAAGTTAAAGGAAGCTCTTCCTAGGACACCTCTAAAACGTTTTGCAACTGTAAAGGCGTACTTGTCCTCAAAGAAATCACCCACGGTTAAGGAACTACAGCGTAGAAAGGTTGTACCATCACCGGAAGAACGCAAAGAATTGGAAATGAATGAATCGGTTATACAGGATGTGAAATCTTTCTTGAATTCGGTGAAATTTAAGAGGAGTGATAAGTCGCGGGAAGTCGTCGACATTCTAGCTGCATCTGTATCAGGACCATTAGTTCAAAAATCTAGGGCCAAAGTTGACCTTGCGAGAAAACTCGGAATGCCAGTTAGAAGGATCTCAAAGGGTGTTCGAATCCGACAACGAGTTTTGCATTCAGAACAATCATCCTTTGAGTTTACAAAAAGGAAAACAAGGTCAGATAAACTAACTGAAGAAGTTCAAAAAACAGTATATGATTTTTGGTGTCTACCTGAAAATTCGCGGCACACTGGAAATAAAACTGATGTCAAGCGTGTCCGAATAGGTCCAAAAACTTACTGTAGCCATGCTATTCAAATTCTAGAAAAAACACAGAGTGAACTGTTCATGTCTTTTAACCAACATTATCCTGAAATTCAGATTTCACAGAGAACATTTGAAAAATGTAAGCCATATTTTGTCCGATCTGCAAGGAAAAAGGATAGAACAACATGCTGCTGCAGGTATCATCTAGAGAGCAAGTTTTTGTTCAACGCTTTCAAGGCACGTAGAAATCAGTTGGCAAACGATGGGTTGCTGGACGAAAACACATTTAAAGTTTACAAAACAATTTCGGAATTATGTGAAGATACGATGTGCCATACGGAGGATGGAAATTTACATTTGAAAGACTGTTTAGAAAGAAGCTGTGAAAAATGCGGTGTTCATTTGCTGAAATTTTGTGACGCTGAATTAGATATGTGTGTCGATTCGCCAGATGTAAACTGGAAAAAATTCGAGTATGTTGACATCAAAACAAAAAATGGCACCAAGAAGAAACTGACATTGGTAGACAAAATAACAAAGTCCGGTGAGATGATAAAGTATTTTAAGAAGGTGTTGGGGTTTTTCCCAGGTCATCATTTCAGGGCCAAATGGCAAAGGGATCAGCTGAAAAATCTTGCCGAAAACTTACCGGAAAACGAATGTTTAACAGTTCATGATTTCTCGGAAAACTACCGATGTAGTGAGCAGATTGAAATCCAGTCAAACTATTTTCAACGAACTGAGGTTTCCATTCACATTTCACTGATTTATAGACATGCTATTTTAGAAGTTGACGGTGTATCGAGCACCCCCGATGACCCTTATATTATTTGTGAACATTTTTTTTCTTATTTCTCCTGACGAAAAGCACGACCATCATTTTGTTAAATGTGTTCAGAAATTGATATCTGAATATTTGCAGTCCATCAATTACCCGCTCTCTACAATGCATGAGTTTTGTGACGGATGTCAAAGCCAATATAAAAGCAGGAACTGTTTGGGAAATCTCGTTCATTCCGTTGACGAGCTTGGATATCAGAAAATGATACGAAATTATTTTGAAAGTAGCCATGGTAAAGGACCACAGGATGCAGCGGGAGGTTTACTTAAGAACCAAGCTGATATGGCTGTTATCCGCGGGAAAGCTCAAATAAGATCTGCGCTTGATTTATTTAATTTTGCAGAGGCTAATCTCAGGACACCGCGATCTCATGCCTGCAAAAGAAGAATATTTCGATATATTGAAGAAATCCCGAGGTTTGAAGAGAACTTTCAGCCAATTAAAGGAATTCGAGCCGTACATCGAGCAGAAACATCTAAAGACGGGAAAATCATATTACGTAATATGTCGTGTTACTGCGACAGTTGTCTAGAAGGGGAAAAGTGTGAAAATTTACCTCAAGTTGGACTTTCCAAAGAAATGAAAATGAAGTCGAATAGCGAATCTACACATCAGGATCCTGACATTTCTGAGGAAGAATATACCGAGGCAGAAACACTCTCAGATTTTATTACTGAAGGAACAGTGTTTGCTGTTCTGTGCACAGGGGATGACGACAATGACTTTTATCTTTTACAAGCCACATCAAAGAGCAAAACTCTACGGAAAGCCAAAACAGACAAGTGGGGTGGATCGTTTGTTGCAGGGTCAACAGTCATCCACGGAAAATATTTTGCTGAAAAGGAAAACTCAATCTTGGACTATAAGCTAATAAAACGCCCAGTAGCCATGGTTCCAAGTGCATCTGTACTGTTTATATGCCAAAATGTATCTATACAAAACGAAATTCTTCACCTAACCGAAGAGGAAAATGAAGATATCCTGGAATGCGTCGATTTGTGCGTGTTAACACACTAAATTGATATTAAATGGCATCTAAATATTTTTTAGAATTGATTTCAAACCTGTATTTTTAACAAATTTAAAGAAAGTTAATTAATACGGTAAAGAACAGTTTTGCCTGTTTTTGACATGAACGTTTTTCACGCTACATAATAAACATATTCACTCATTAAACTTCCAGTTTCTTTTCATTTTATTTTATTTTATTTTTTTACTTTTAACATAGAATTGGATTTAAGGGAACTCTAAATTCTAATGAAAACGTTTTTTTTTTACTTTGAGATCTTTTATATAAACGTGTAGATACTTCAATTTCAACAAGGGTACTAGTACCTAGCTACAACATTCACCAAGAAAAAATATATAAAGATGTTTAAAGAAAATGAAGTATTCGCTCATGTTTACGTACATGCAATTAATGTATTCAGGGTTTTTTTGGTCAATATTACTTTCATTTTATTTCAAATTGTGTCATTTACTGAAGATTTCCATTTATTCCAACTTACATAAAAGGGCAGATCACTTTAAATTCATAAAACATATGGATTAGAACTCTTCAGTATGCAGTTAAACCTTTATGAAAGTTTTACTAAGTCGCTGATTGATATGAGTAATTTTTACGTCCCGTTTACGTGACGTTAAACGTCATTTATAACGTTACCAAATGTGACACCAACACCGTGCGTAACGTCAATGTATTTGAAGAATTTGGTAATTATTTGAATAAAAAATTTTAGTTAAAAAAATACAAAGATATATATAAAAGAACCAAAAATAATTCAGTATTGTTTCATGGGAGAAATGATCGGCGAACAAATATACAAGAGTAGATAGCCACTCCTTCTTGTAAAAGACACTGAGCTAAAGACCGATTTATTATTTAAATTTACTGTCTGGTTCAATGATTTAAAGCAAGGATGGTTCATTTTGCCTAGGAAATAGAATATTGGAACTCTGTATGGTAATCTTTTTTGTTCTACAATTCATATATCATAAATATGCAGGCGTGAAGCGTTGTAGTTCATATACATGTACCTCATGAATTCTCAAAAAATTAATTAATATCTTTTTATTTACATTATTTTACTGATATCTTGCCACATATTTTTGTCATTCAACGATCTTTTTTTTTTAAGTTTGCACTATTTTTTTACTTCAATTACATCACAATGGAAATATTCTTACTCATCCCACGGTAGTTCATGAGAACATTAACTTTTTCTAATTTGCAAAGAATCTTAAGGAAAAATATTTGGAAATGTAAATATTTATTTCCTATTGAAAAATAAAATATATGTCAGTTTGGAAAATTGTTGAAAAAGGGAATTTTTTTAAAATTCATTTTTAAGGGGATTAAGCTTAATTCAAAATAAAAAAAAATCATAGTTTATTCACGTAGTTCAATAAAGTAACATACATTTATCAGAAAAAAATGCTTGCCAGAATACCGTACATGTAACTACAATGAATGCACGTTTTTGGTTGTTGGTACAGTTTATATCATTAGCTGCAGGGACTACTACCTGAGTGTGTAATTGTATGCATGCGTTCAAGCGGAATTAATAAATTTCCTGTTACGTAGAGTCTGAGGTCCGCCAACAATCTGTTGGAATACCCAAGGTACATTTATAGAATTATCAAAATCAAAAAGCTTAAATTCATTTATTATATGATTAAATATGTATTCAGAATCATTCAGAAACATGTAGATACATATAACTGGCATTTAAATGACAGAATAGCTTCGCTCTTTCCAATGTGAAAATTTTGATGTCTCCAAAATCACAACAAAAACATGATTGTTAGAATGATTTCAAGTGTACACAGGAATTCGCCCATATTATGTCTTTTTGATTCCTCTTCTTAATTTTCCTTCTTTCTGTAGACGGAAACAAACTCTGTAAATAAAATTAAAAATCTTTAGTGATGTTGAAAAGATTTCCAGACTAGGAAAAGGTGTTCCTAATATTGCCAGTAAAGACTAAAATAATTACAGTAAAGCTTGTCTTATCCAGACGTAGTGTATTCCGAAATCTTGCCTATTACGATGTAAACTTTAACTCCATTGCAGCATATTGAATGTCTAATCCGGAATAAAAATACTAGATTTTTGATGGTTCAGTGGTGTCCGAATTAGACAAGTTTTTACTGCAATTGAGCTCTACGTAATAAAATGAGGATCCAAGACCTGATTCATGATGTGACCTAACCTGGCAGAGGTCAGTAATTCAGGTCAGGTCAATTAAACGAATGGGTCAGGTCTCGGCAAAATGTTGACCTCATTAGGAGTGTTTAGTTGTTTTATTATATCGATATGCAAAACAAATTTTCTTATTTCTATTATTGTAATATGTTAAATGTTTCTTTAGAAATGTTATGATGTTGCATGAGTTTATATACGATTTTTTTCTGACAAAATTTGTTTGGAAAATAGAACATGTATCTGATATCTTATGTCGCTGAGTTGTTTCTGCATATTTTGTTAACAAACATTTTGACATTTAAACATTAGTACAAACAACATTTTTAAATAAATGACCGGTGGTGTGTTGTACATATGCAATACGACCAATGTTGAGCGGAAAAGAAAGAGTCCATACAAGACGAGGATAACCTCCATCTCTGAGACAATATATTTTTCAAAATTCATGGAAAAGTAATATCTTTCAAAAATTATGTTGTCAGCAATATAATCTTTAATACATTAGGTTCATTTATTTTATTGATTAACTTACTGATTAATAATTTGTTTTTAAATTGACAGTTAAGATTACCATTTTCCACCATATTCTCTCGAGGCAAACACTTGCATGTACGTGCATTTTTTACTGCCTAATACAACATATAGTAAGAACATCTAGATTTATGCTTGCAGTCTGACCTAGCAGCAGTTATGTACCCTCTCCGATTTTTTTTTTTTTTTTGGGGGGGGGGGGGGCTTAGGATCTCCGTAATGGTGCAAGTGCGGGAGTGATTCACTACCGCACAGATTTCGGCTCAAATTATCAGTAAGTGGGTATTTTATTAACATATCTTACCTGAACTCATAAAATGTAGTTATGCAAGACATGGATTGATCCAAAAATATACAGAACAATCCGTAAATCGGTTATTTTTCGTGTATGTCAACCTCACAACTTGAATTTATCCGCCATGTTTACTGATCTTGATCGATTTTATTTTGGGACAACCAATGAGAATTCGGGATCTAGGGGAGCGGATCTGTTTAGGATTTCCCTTATTATAAGCATAAATATCACTGTTTATGAAAGAAATATCACATGGAATGCTTTTATTTATCGACGTTTAGTGATATCATACAACACAAACATTTATCAACACTGACATTTACTTTATCAAGTGATTCTAAATTTCAAGCGCAAGTCTCAGTATATCACGCGAGAACTGTCATGGCTGCTGAGGAGAACGACTGGAAAACACGCAGATTTATTTTCCTTGGTTTTTCGCGTATAAAGGCGTATATGATGTTGATAGTGAATCAAGATTCCGTCTTATTGGAAGGAAGTTGAATGCAAAAACAATTTATTTTGCCTGCAGTCGCCCGTATCTAAAAAATATATTGCACCATTACGGAGATGCAGTGGAATTGTAGCCCTCTCCTGAAAATATCAGATGAAAAAAACCGGAGAGGGCTACATTATTGCAACTAAGTCTGACCAATCATGAAGTTAAAAATTGTGTGTTGTTAACTTGTTGTTCAATGACCTAAAGACAAACCATTAATTCCGCTACAGCATAGAGATATCATAAATAAAGTCTTGCTTTAGTCAGATTTAAATGCGATTTTATTAGTTAATTTCCTTTGAATACAATATTGAATGAATATTTACTAGAGATAAGCAATTTCAATATGCTATTCCGAAATTGGAATTGAGTAAGGCAAACGAAAGATGAAACACATCTTTTCCAACTTTTTCAAGACTGAAGCTCTACTAGGTTTTGGACATATAGGATACTCAAAAAGAAATATGTCATAGAAATTTGATAACAGTTTGTACGTACTTTATTGTTGCCAAAGCACATAATTACAACGACATTTTCCAATATTATTACAATTGAAATCTTTCACTTTCTTATTTCTCCAACTGTACGTATTTTTTCTCGGCTTGTTTGCATGCATTTCTTTGAATATTGACCAATTTTGTTTTATATTAACTTTTCGCTCTGGAAAATATATTCATGCCCGAAAACAAAAATTGAGCTTTCTTATATGAAGAAGATTACATGTGCATTATAAATTTCTGGCTTCCTTTTCTCTATTTATGTAAAAGGTCAAGATAATGAACAGAGAACAATCTCACAAAACCAATCTCACAAAACGAATCGTCGCCCGCGTGGCGCAGTGGTTAGAGCGTCTGCTCTAGAGTCGCGGCGTAAGGAGTTGATCCTTACGTCGCGGGTTCGAATCCCACTGTGAGACGTGGAGACCGGTCCTTCGGATGAGACTGTATAAACTGAGGTCCCGTGTCGCAGTAGGTGCTGGCACGAAAAAGATCCCTCACTGCTCAGTGGCCGTAAGTGCTGAGTATAGGACAAAATTTTCTCTCCACCGGCAAGTGATGGGGTCTCCATATGAGTGAAAAATTCTTTAGAGGGACGTTAAACAACATACAAACAAACAAAAAACACAAAATGAATCGTGAACAGGGCAAAACAACAACAACAACAAAAAAAACAAAAACAACAACAAAAAACAGTCCTTTGGAAACACCGTACAAATGAACTAAAATTATCTTTATTTGATTCTTTATAGAAATAATACCGATACCATCAAACGTGAGCTCCCCGTCCCCGTCCATATCACCCTCCTTCACCAGCTCATCAGCGTCTGACCTTGAGATACCCATCGTCTTAGCAATTTCTTTGGCCGTGATAGTTCCGTCCCCATTGACATCCATTTTTGCAAAGCATTTTTCCAGGAATTGTAACTCCATAATCTGGGTCTCCAGCTGTTCTACCATCATTTTCTCGTACTCCTTATAGCTTAGATAATCGTCACCTGTAATAGACAAAACAAGAAGAAAAGCAGATGAAATTGATCGTAATTAAGTACATCGAGGCCATTTGACTAAAACCAGTCCGCTACTATTCACGTCTTGATGACCAAAGTGAATAGTTCGAAGGGGGGAGGGGTGTGATGGCTTTAACAGACTGTACAGCAAGGGATCTTCTAATGTTCAAAGCATTACAAGATATATTTGTGAAACACGGATCAGTTTTTTCAAAAGTATGTCAAACTCAAACATCAAGGTCATAGGGTGAAAAATGATGGTACCCAAAGGAAGTTCTTGTCACAAGGCATACACAAGAGCAAGAACTGGTACCAACCGTTCTAAAGATATGGTCAAAGTTAATGTTTTACAAAAGAGTCAAGAGGTCAAAATGTTGGCACAAAGGGAAAGGTCTTGTCAAAAGCAATACACATATGACTAACATCAACCATTCAAAATTCATGGCTATGGTTACAGTTTTACAAAAGTCGGACAAAAGTAAATCAAATCTAAGGTCAAGGTCATGAAGTCAGAAATGTTGGTACCCAAAGAGGAAGGTCTTATCACAAAGAAAACCATGCGACATATCAAAGCCCTAGCATCAAGCGTTCAATAGTTACGGCCAATGTTAAAGATTATTTGGACAGTGAAAAAGGTGAAGATAATGAACAGTGATAGATTTAAAACAAGAGGCCCAAGGGCCTTAACGGTCACTTGAGTATAATACAACAATTTAGAGGGTCTAAAAATATATAATAAACTGATAGATGAAGCTTCGTTGCCCAAAAGCAAGAGAAATAGGATGATCAGAATCAATGAAATAATTAGTCTAGTATTCAGTAACAACTCATAAATAATCTGTCCCCCATTTTTCACTATCACCATGCAGACTACTAACAAACTATTAAGTGCTTCTGTACTATTTTTAACCCCATATTGAGACTCTCTTGGTCATTGAAGAATATTTTATGATAAGTTATTTTTGTCTCATTTTTATTTATCCATTATTTAAAAGTCTACTTGATCATTAAAACTATGAAAGTACCTTTTTTTTATTACACAATAAAAATTCTTGCATAATTCTCTTATTCTATTTACCTTTTAAATACATTATTTACAGTGATTAATTGTCAAAAGTGAATGGCAAAGGGGAATAACTTCTCTCAGTAGAATACAAATTAATAGAGCCCTGGCCATGACCAAAACACTTGACCAAATGGTTGCAAAGAATTAGAACCTCTGACCCTGGGACCACAAGTTTTAAAACTTTTGTAAGAAGCACCCTTGTTCATCATAACTTTGCACTTTGTTTATCTGCCCAACACTATGGAGCAGACAGGATTTATTAATAGAATTAATGCATTTTTACTGTATTATCAATAGAGCCCCATCCTTACATCAGAACATCTGACCCAGGGGGCATGAAACTCACAATTCTGGAAGAAGCACTCTTGCTCATCATAACTATACTCTTAGTTTCTTTGCTTTTTAACCAGGAGTAGAAAAAATATTTTCAAAGAAATTATGCTTTTTCACTATAAACGAATACCCCCCTCTTTTCACCTGAACCCCTGATCTGGGGCCATGAATTTCACAATTTTGGAAGAGGCATCCTTGCTTATAATAACCATGTACTTAGTTTGTTTAAATAATACCCAGGAGCAGAGAAGATGATTTTCAAAGAATTAATGCATTTTCACTATATAATCAATAAAGCCCCGCCCTAACACCAGAAGCCCTGACCCATGGACCATGATATTCACAATTTGGAAAGTGGCAACCTTGCCCATCTTAACTATGTACTTACTTACTTTGTTTAATACCCAGGAGAAGAGAAGATTTTCAAAGAAATAATGTACTTTCACTATGATCCACATAGCCTCATCCTAGTAGCTGATCCCCTGACCCTGGGGCCATGAATTTCACAATTTTGGTAGAGGGCTAAATTCTTATTACAATCATGCCAACAGTTTACTGTGTAATGGTTAAAGGGTTTTATCACGTTTCAAAATTCTTTGATATGACAAAGTTTACATGCTATTAAAATCATATATTTAAAAATCTTTGCTAGAAAATTAATATTTTTGATGTATCAGCGATTCAAAGTTTGAATTTCTCAATATGCATATTTTGATCGCCGATGTTACGCGCCATTGCTCTGACGTCATAGGTGTCAATCCTGGTCAAGCGAAGTACTTATTGTGTATACAAAAGGGCTCATTTGTTGTGTCTTTTAAACCTGTTAGAAAATAACTAAGTGATAATTGAATAATTGACAACTTGTAAGGTATAATTTAATTATGGCTTTATGGTGCACAAATGTGCATAAGAAAGGTTTTAGGAAGAATTTTTCCCCACATTTCCTGGACTTGGTCGAGAGATAAAAGGGGGGCCTTCCTCTGCAAATGCGATGGCATTTATCTCCATTCAGAACAATCGTTTTTGCCCGATCGATCACGACTTTTTTTTCTGTCCTAAAACATATTTTAAGGAAAGATACTTTTCAAAAAAATAATAAATGACAAACACGCATTTTTTTAAAAGTCGCACAGAATCTAGTAGGAATGTTGTGAACTTCGTAATGGCCTACGGCGCCATTGAAGAAATGTCATTTCTAGTACATGATTTTCACTGCTAGAGCTAATAGAAGATATACAGGATTTATTTATTTATAATTAATTAAAATAATTATGAAGGAGAATTTAAAATTCCCATATTTATAAATGTTTACGAAGTTAAACTTTAGTAATTCGTTCTATTTAGTTGAAGTCCCGAGTTGTCAACGGCTTCGTCTTCGGTGATTTGGTATTTATATAAACGCACTGAAGACGTCAAATAATGGAATGACCTGACATCCCTTGGCATAGACTAGCCCAAGGGTATATAAAGCGAAGCTTTTGGGAAGTCAGGCATTCAGAAGATAGCTGAAGAAGCCGACAGCTGAATCAGAAGCCGGCAAAAGAATTGTCAAATAAAGAAGTAGTAAGGGTAAGAATAGAAGCACCAGTGGCAAGTAATCCTAGGGAATTGATGTTAAGTTCTGGGTGTTGTAAATCTGAAGAAGATTGAGACACCCAGTTCTTTCCTATCAATAGGAACCTAGGAGGAGAAACACGGTGCAAGAATCATATCCGGTCCCCGTCTCTAGATAAGAGGAAAAATTTTTAATACTGTGTGATTTACTCTCAGACAGAGCGGTCTTATCAATCATTGCAATTATAAACTCAGACAGAGTAAGAGGAAAACTTAGTATCTATCTCTTGTAAGAACCCAATCATACACGTTACAATTGCTTGATGTCCGGGATTAAAGAAGATTTTTAAAGATTGCATTAATTTTGGTGGTTTTAGCCCCACCTCTAAGAACCCAGGGGACAGGGACCATGAAATTCACAATTTTGTTCCCATTCATACATAGATGCTAAAATTGGTTGATATTGGTTTAGCGGTACCAGGGAAGAAGTAGAAAATGTTTACGTATAACGAAAGACAAAAACGAATAGCAATAGGTCACCTGAGTGACTCAAGATATAAACAATAGAAATTTGTGAAAAGGGCATAAAAAACAAGCCTCTGGGAAATCCAGAGGTGGGATCATGTTCCTACTAGGAGTAAGCATCCCCTGTTGACCGTCACACCCGCCGTGAGCCCCATGTTTTGATCAGGTACATGTAGGAGGAACATTCTATAATCAAATTAAGTATGAAAACAAATGACTAACTAACAGAGAGACGCACAGGCCAAAAACTTTATGCTCCTGAATCTCCGATTACGGGGGTATAAAGAATGTCGTAAGTATGATGACTAAAGCTTCTTTATTTCTTAAAGTATTGTTATTTTAATTCAAACGCATAAACCTAATGTGATCGTACCAATACTACACTATATATATATAGTGACTATGCATGTTGCAGCCAATGTTACATAAAACAATGACCCTAGATTCCAACTCTTAAAGTTTGATTACTGTTAGTCTGCTGGTGGACTTTCATACAGGAAACAAACAAGACATAATCTCTGCAACTTCATTAATCAAGCTACATGTAGGTGTGAATTAATGCTGACACGTGCTGCATCTGTACAGATATATCACACGATCTTTTATCCTGCCTCTGATAAAAATCTTGGAATTTCATTGGTCGAGAAGAATACTGTATAAAACTACATGATGCTGTTTACTGACATGACATTGTTGATATGTTCCTTCCACGTGACTAACTGACTTAGACCAGAACTATAGCTCGCTGGTTGAGAAAATTCAGATAGACAAACTAGAAATTTGGTTTGTCTGTCCGAATTTTATCAACCAGGGAGCTACGGTTCTGTAGCTACCTACTAACCAGATATTAAATCAATATCCCCTCCAAGTGACCTGCTGGCTCCCTATACTGTTTTCACTTGACCTCTCAAAGAGAATAACTGACGAAACATAAGCATCAGACAACGTCACAGTGTAAGCAATCGTAATGGAACGGTTTCCTTCGCCGAGAGAAAATAAACTTTATTGAAAAATCTTCGATAGGGTAAATTCGTCATATAGACATTTAGAGGGGTATTATAGAAATAAGTCGGACCCTTGAGAAAAAACGTATATTTGGCTTGGCTTACACCCTGCCAAATACGCATAATTTCAAGGACCCCATATATTTTCTTATTTCCCCTAACACCCCTACTAATGTTATTGTGATTTAAATTCAAGACAAGTGTTGTAGGTTGACCCATTCAAAGATTATAGGGTAGAACCGGTTTTATAAATGAAATTGGCAGTAAACAGGAAATTTCTATAATCTGTTTCTGTTAAAAACACGTCCTATAAAAAAGATTTTCAAGAATTTAAATAGAACTGGGTGGGATTAAAAAAATCACAATCTTGAATTCGCTTTTGTTTATTTACGGCGAAAATTAGAGCTTAGTAGTGTTAATTCTTCTAAAATCGCCCGATACGCTGGTAGAAAAAAAATATATATGACAAACCTTTCCTTACCTTATATGGCTATTGTTATTAATCC